CAGAGTGTGTGTGTGTGACCGGTGGAGAGACGAAGGAGCGGAGGGCCAGGCGACCCAACCTGGCCATCAAAGGGACTGGCAGCGTCTCCTCTCCTGGGATCATGTACCCTCAGAGCAGGCATCCGGTAAGCACCTCCTCACGTCTCTCTGCCTCCCTTTCTGTCCCCCTCCCGTCTACACGTACGTCTCTCGACCCGCAGTCTCTCACTCGCCTTTCGTGTCTCGCGTTGTCCTCGGCGCCTGTCATCTCCCCCTGCCCCCTCGGTGCCTCCCTGCTCGTCCTATCTCGTGTCCTTCCTCTCCTCTCCTTGCTCTCGCACGCTCCCTTTCCGACCCTCTGCTGTCTCCCGTCTGTCCTCGCCTTTTTTTGTCTTTCTGTTCTTTTTCAGCCTGTCCTTGTTGTCCCTGTCTTGTGTTGAGTTGTGAGGACAGTACTGTAACACGAGGGTTATGTACACACACACACACACACACACACACACACACCACCTCCCTCTTTATCTGCTCTAATCAGGTGACTTTAAGACCTTCTTGATGTTTATATTTGTTTGTGGCTGTTTTGTTGTCTCTAAGTGTGTGTGTGTGTGTGTGTGTGTGTGTGTGTGTGTGTGTGAGAGAACAGATCTGCGTGTGTGTGTAAATTTGTCAGTAAACCTAATTTTGGTTTACACACACACACACACACACACAGGCTGAAGAACTTCCCTTTCATTACCTCTTTAAAGTCCCGTTTTAAAGCTGAACCCGTCAGCAGCAGCGACAACTCGCCATTAATTTACCTGCCGGGGTAAAAAAACCTAGACTTAAAATCACTGGAGGATGAATGGCAGTTTAGGCCGAGTCTGTCCGAGGCCGTTCCTTTCACGGGGGCCCCGGTTGCTATAATCAGATTTGGTTGTCAGTCTCTTTGTATCTGGTACAAATGGGTCAGTGGGCACTTTGCCCCGCAGCCAGCCGCTCACTCACTGAGCCAGCCATCACACGGAATTATGAATGACATTTTCACCAGCGGAAGGCATTGAGGATTCAATTATATGTACAGAGGGAATGCTAATAAGCCAGCCGCCGCTATCGAACGGAGGGAGACGCTGAGAGAAACCGGACAGAAGTGGGGAAAAAAACAAAAGGGAGAAATTGAAAGATGTGAGAGCCAAGAACGATAAAAAAAATAAAGAAAAAGAAGAATTCTTTAGGAAGGCCGGGGGTGGAAAGAGGAGTGAAAATGGAAAAAGATGCAAAGGGGAGAAGCGGGTGTGATGGTTCCTCTGTTCTCTCCTTTAGAGGCGCATCAGAGAGCTTCCTGCTGCGATGCGCTTCGCTTGTGAGGAAGTTCAATCCCAGAGCGAGCCGATCGATCGCCCCTCTCTCTCCTCCTTCCTCCTGCAGGCCTCCTCTGCCCGTGCAACTTTATTTCTGGTGTTGCTATGAAATGTGACCTGTGTGGAGAGGTGTGAGGGTGCGTGGAACAGATGTGTGCACGCGCTTGTGTGTTGTTACAGACTGTGTGTATGAGCATTAGATTAGTGTGCGTTTGTCCTCAAAAATGCAGATTAGACACTGATCAAGAATCAAAATCAATAAAAACGTGTTGTTTTTAGGTTTCACATGTGAGATCTACCTAACTATGTCCAAGCTTCATCCCCACGATATGGTGAAGTGAGATCGGGGTGAAGAATTGTGTAGCAGATAGTTTATGGATTATTAAACTGAAGCAAACTTTCTGCAAACTTGATCTTGACATCGCAATCGAGTATAAAAACTCACGTAAAGGCAACAATCACTTCTTTTTTATCAAACCGCGCAAGTACCCAACCACTGGAGTTCTACTCCTCTGCGTGTCCTCGTTGGCGTCGGTCAGAGGTCGCGGCCCGCTGAGCGGCGCTCCTGGGAAGGCGTCTCAAGGCCGCTCAGCCACTGTTTTTATCTCCTATTTGTAATCCGAGGAGAAGTCGGAGGTTTGTTCCTCTTTTGCTCTGCTGGGAAAAGGTTCAAACGGAATGGAGCCGCAATGGGTTTGTGTTTTCTTTGTGGCGAGCGTTATCAGGACTTAGTGAGGTGTGTTTTTAATGACTCTCTTTAGTGCTTTAATCTATTCATCTTTGTAACAACGGTGTGTGTGTGTGTGTGTGTGTTAAGGTGTGAACTTGTGTGAGCTTTATGCATTCATTGATTCGCCTTTAAGCGTGAAGCGTCTTTGTGCGTCTTCGGTGTGTGCACCAGGTACACGTTTGTATTTGTCCTTGTAAAAGAGTGTGTGTGTGTGTGTGTGTTGGAGTTCAGAGGAAGGGTAAAGGGAGCGCTGTGGTTTGTGTGCGCCGTGCCAACAACAATAAATGAAGCCCCGGTCCGACCTCGCCTGTTGCTGTGACCGCATTAGACCCTCGATTGGCCGCCACACCTCAGTGACGGGGAGGATTTACCGGGTTTCCGCGGTTAAGCCCCCCCACTCTTTACCTCATTTCACATATGTATCCAATAAAGCGCCAACGCCATCTCGTCTCAAGCGGCGGCTTCCCGTCGTCTGGAGGATCGAGATCAGACAGTTTATCTGTTATTCGTGTAAAGAGGGAGACCGAGAGAGACCAGGCGAGTGTGAAAGAGAAGTTTAATTGTTGACGGTGGAGATCGCAGCAGAATCATAAGACAAAGTATCACCGGATACGAAATTAAATCCGCTCCAATCGCTCCGATGTACATGAGCTGTGCTCGTTTCTGTTGGGCTACGGTAGAGTCGCACTCACTTTTTACAGCCAAGCAAACACACTATGGCCAATTATGTGGCCGCATGTGCGCCATTAATGAGGGTGGAGCCTCTAGAAGAGGGCGGGGCTTAAAGCTGACTGCGTGTCTGTGTTCAGTAGGTGTCGAGGTCGCGTCGGCAGGACGCGCTGAACCATTTAGCGCGGTGAATTTCCCGCATACACGGAGCCATTTGTATTTTTAATCTTTTGGCGGCCGGCCTGTGTGGGGCAGTTGTTGTTGGCTGTGGAGAGGCAAGAAAAATGTCTTACAAGCCGCCCGGGTTTAAAGGAAGCGGCCCATTTTTCTGTCCTCCAACCCCGTGTCGCTTCTCGCCCGCCTGGTTAAACGCTGCCCTGACCGGCCTGCTGGTTGACGGGCCGGCCGAGTGGCCATTTTATTCGCCGGCTGGTCGGCCGCCAGATTTAATTGACAAAGATGTCTGTCGGTTCTCGGGGCTGCACAAGAAGGGGGCCCGCTAGCGCTGAATGAGCTTCTGTCGTCGGACAGCAGAAGAGCGCCGGCTCGCTCTCAGTTATCGAAAAGCTTCGAGTGGACCAAAAACCGCCAGTGGCGTCTTAAGGAGATGGATGATGGGTAACCTCAGGTTGTCACCTCCCGGCGCGCTCCAAACCGCTGAGCACACAAGTGGCTCTGACACACTTGGTATTTCTCATCTATCCGTGTGCCCTTTTTCCCCCCCTAAATATTTCACCAGCCGATTATTATTTCATGCGCTGATCTGAACGTGTCTCTGCTCGTCTCAGAGACGAGAGACACGGGGCGGGAGGAAGAACAAAGGGGCTGCAAAGAAGAAGAGGGGGGAGCAGCACAACAGAGGGCACAAGAAAGAATATAAAATATTTGGTTTGTGGGCGTTTTGTCCGGATGAATCCGACCATGCACGGCCACGCCGGAGGCCAAACGGGCCCTAACGAGTGTCCAAAAGGACACCGACCGCTCCAAGTGTCCCAGCCTTTGTTATCCATGCCCGAAAAACCTGGTTGCAATGTTCTGACCAGTAACACTGGCTTTAAATATTTGTCCAAACTCTGGGAAAGAACTTGCAAACGTGTTGCATCTAACTATAATCTTATATCTAATTACAGTGCTGAAACCCAATTGTGAAATGATCAACATTGCGTTGCTTTTAAAAAAAAATATTTCCTGGTGAAGGCAGACAGACAGGCGATGGTTGCAGCCTCCCACCTCCGTCCTGTTATGTGATACGGCGCGTTGCACTTCGCCCGCCACTCCTCCCCTTAACCCCCCCAAAGCTAATCCTTCCTAATTCTCCGCTTGCCCGTGCCAGCTTGGCCAAATTGTGATTGACTGCTGTTCCACATTGTGTATGTATGAGTGTGTGTGTTTTTGTTGAGCACAAGTCACCCCCCCCTGCCTCCCCCCCGCCCCCCTTCCTCCACCTAGCTTAACCGGATCAGTTTTGGGTTTCAGGATCCCCTATGCTGGCTACTATGACACACACACACACACACACACACACAGGCGGTAGGATGGTTTTTGGCCCACGGTGAAGCACTATTGGACCCCTCACCGTCTGGGAGGCCATCTGTCACAATATAGGAGAGACCAGATACACACAACAACAAATGTGAGTCCCGCTGTGCATACGGCACGACTTCATGACGCCTCCATCTTTGCAAACGCTGCAGAAGGATGCACATTTATCCCCACTCTGTTCTACCTGCTCTAAGTGCCCATGAGCAAGACACAGGGTCTCCTGCTATTACTAATTAGCGTGCACTAATTTAATAGCGAGTTTTCCGGACTCGACAGAGCTCAGCATTTCTCCTCGTGCCCGAGCACCTTGTCTGTGTCTCTCGTTTTCTCCCGGCTCATAAGAACTTTGACTGCTCCGGTGTCCGAGGAACCTCTTTCCAAAACGTGCAATTTGCGAATCAAAAGAAAGACGACGACGTCGCCGGGGGGAGGGAGGGCGGTTGATGAAAGCGGATCAAACGTCCCTCCTCGGCACGCCGCTGCCGCCGCCATGTTGACACCAGCGGTCGTCACTCGCGGATCCCTCGCATAATCCTGATCTGTGACTGCGGCCTTTGTTGTGTGACTTAGTGCTGCTGATGTAACCCGCCGGCAGCACTTCATGCGTGTGCATCGGCGTGAGTGCGTGTCTGTGCGCTCATGTTTTCACGGCAGTAGATGGCGGGGGCAGCGCGTCGCCACAGACGGCTGGACGGTGCACAGGGCCGCCGCCTCCCCCCTTCTCCCCCCCCCCCCCCCCCCCCCACCCGCCGCCCGTCTATGTCTCCCCTCCTTCCCGTTCCCTCAGGTGTCAGGCGGATGAATGGCCGGCTATCTCTCACAGTCGCTCTTTCATCATCTGTCCCTCTGCTCGTTCTTTCACTCCACTGTAAAGATGTCAGACGAGTCCATCCGTCTGTCAGATGACTATCTCTCCCCCCCTCCCCCCCTTCACCCCCTCACTCCCATCATCAATCCATCCGTGCTCTTTCCCTCACGGTTGGTTTACGTGTTCTCTGGCTGAATCTGCGTGTGCAGTGTGTGTGTGTGTGTGTCTGTTTGTTTGTGTGTGTGTGGTGTGTCTGTTTGTTTGTGTGTTTTTCTGTGCGCTCGCGGCTGCGTGGGCGTGTGTGTTTGTATCCGTGCGTGACAGATCATTATCCCCCCCCCCCCCCCCCCCCCCCCCCCAGTCCTTCTCCTCCCCTCACTAAGTGTGTGTGTGTGGTGTGAATCAAGGTCAGTGGGGATCTGTTGGCAGACCCCCCTCCCCCACAACTCACCCACCCGCCTATACTCACCCGCCCATACTCGCCCAGATGGTTTGAGTGTGTGTGTGTGTGTGTGTGTGTGTGTGTGTGCGCAGTGCCTATCCGGCCATCTAGATGTCCCCGCTTTGCCCGCCTCAGCTCAGTTTAGCTCGGCTCAGCTCGGCTCCGTGGATTAATTACCGGGGAACCCACCGCGTCCCCGACCTCCACCGTCGGACTAATTGAAATCTAATTGGATCGTGCTCGTCTAGACCAATGAGGCCGCCGCCGATGTTTTAGCCGTAGCCGCAGGCCGAGAGGCACCCGGCTGCACTTTAGCCGCTCGGTTTGGATGGATGGCTACGTGGAGAGTAAAGCACCGGGTGGATGGATGGATTCCTAGTTGGCTGAGGTCACTAAGTAGGAAACCACACTCCGTGTGTTTTGTGACTTAAGGTACTTGAGTTGACTCTGTCACAGGAATTATAACCTCAGAACAGTTGAGCACGTCCTTTCCAATTCGAAAATAGTCCGATCCAATGCTCAGACCAAACCTGCATTTTGAGTCGTGGCCGTTTGGGGCTTTAAATCGTGTTGAAAGGAAACAAAGTCAGAGTTGGTTCTTTTCCGGTACAAGTAGCTAAAAGCACTGGATCCAAGCGGTGCTAAATCTTGCGAGAAATTTGCCTCGTTGGCAGCACCGGAAGCCCTTCCCTCCAAAGCCCCCCCACTAAATTATCATAATAACGTAATCATGCCTTCATGCACAGATCTGGGTTCTGCTCTGGGTGCACTAGTCATACAGTGGACACTAGTGGGACACTAATGAGATGTCCTTGTCTCCTGCACTGGAAGCGTCTGGTGTGGCGCGAAGCTCAATGATCACCGGCAGGTGACAAGAAGTGACAAAAAGGAAGTGGCAGCAACACCTGGCAGCCAGCATCCCCCTGTGGCTAACAGCGGGAGTCCCACACTGCAGGGGAAACCCGCTAATCCAAATTGGGAGAATACTTTTCTTACATAAACAAATCGCCCCTGAGAATCCACAAAAAAGAAAAAATAAATACGACCACTTGTGGATCGTCTAGATTTTCCAGACTACCAACTAAGGCCCATCCCCAAAAATAAACAGCCTCAAAAATCGGTGCTTTGGACAAAAGCAGACGTGGAGGGCCGGCGCTGGAGGTATGGAAGTGGACCCCAGGGAGCTGCTCACTTTGTTGGGCCTTCTTTAGCTTTTAGTAGGTGAGAGACGCAGCTGTGATTTCCTATAAGTTATTAATTTGACGCTTCCTCCCTTCTCAGCTCTTTGTAGGCTGGAATACATTAGCCAGGCTGGCAGAGCGCAGAGGATGGTAATTTGGAAGATGGGGAGAGCGGAGGAGGAGAGGGTGGGGGCGGTGGAGGGAATGAGGAGAGTCATTAGAGGAGGAGGGGCACAGGGAGAGGACACGGCTTTATGATGTGTGGGGAAGAGGGAGTGACCTTCCCTCTCACTTTCATCTTGGCTTTTTTTCTCCCCCCGAGACACGCAATCGCACATTCTCACACACACACACACACACACCTACGTAACTGTGTGGCTCAGGCTTGTGCAGGTGCACGTGTGACTACACAAATGCGTAACTGGCACCTCAGTATCCACTTTTCATCTCTTGCTTCTCTCCTCCTGTTTCCCATGCAGGTTCCCTTGCAGCCCGGGCAGTCCTTCAAGTTCACAGTCCTGGAAACTCTGGACCGAATCAAGGAGGAGTTCCAGTTCCTCCAGGCACAGTATCACAGGTACACAGACAATATTACAATACGTTCACATAAATGTGGTGCTGAAGAATGCTTTTATAGTTTGGACAGTCCACATTTTCCAGTTCATTTGAATGACATAAACTGACGAGACGTAAACATGCCGTGAAGCGGTTGCCTAGCAATGCAGTTCGGTTTATAGTAACAACACATTGTTGTTCAAATCTGTGGAAGTCAGTTTTTTAATAAATTAACCTGTAAACACAGAGATGTCAGCGTGGCTGTCCGTTAATCTCTTTATTTATCTATCATCAAGACATTGAATACAAAATACTGTCGAGTGACAGTGAGTGGCAGCCCTTGAAATGTAATCCTGTCTAAACAACCACAAAAAAGAAAAAAATGAAATCGTTGAGACGTTCACACATTTGGACAACAAATATTTGCACAATTAGATGTGGCGATACAAAGCGCCGTCGTTGACTGAAGCAACACGTTTAAAGGAGAAAAGACTCGCTTTGATACGAATATATATACGAATATATGAACGCGACACAACCGAAAAAGCACAAACCCGACGCGAAGTGTGCTGCTTCGTCAGGAGCAGAAACCCACCGATGTCCACACGACGCATACAGCCAGGCGATAAACACACGGGGACTTGTCAAAGCAGCCCCACATGTGGGGGGGGGGGGGGGGGGGGGTTGTGATGAATTGCGGTGGTGAATAGGACAGCAGGACCCTGCTGGCAGTAGCTTACCATGAAGGTGATATTTTTCACTGTCACTTTCAACCCTAATCCCCGGCCGCACTGTGTGGCTAAGAATACTCTTTTGCTATTTGCACAGCCTTAAACTCTGTGTGACCTCTGCAATATTTCCCGCGGAAGAAAAAAAAAAAGAAATTGCCGTTTATTTCCATGCACGCCATTCACTCGGCGCCCGTGTGTGTGTGTCCTTTTCCCGTCCTCGTGCAGCCTGAAGCTGGAGTGCGAGAAGCTGGCCAGCGAGAAGACGGAGATGCAGAGGCACTACATCATGGTGAGTCCAATCAGCCCGCTGCCGGAGCTGCGCGGTGATTTGCGGGTGTGACCCGGGTCACTCGGGGGACTCTGAGGAGAGTATGATGGGTTCCTGTGTAGGAATTACAATCAGGGGAGTCGAATCTGTGCCTTTGAAAAGCCGGATTGACCTTTTTTTTTTTTTAGTGTTTGCTGTTCAGAAGTAAAAACTGTCGAAGCCACTTCAAGGTTTTTCTTTGCTCCCCCCCCCCGTCACTACTCTGACTTCTCATTCTGTCTTTTGACTTCTCATTTCATTGACTGCACGTCTGAGGAATGCTAACACGCTAAAACAGAGTCCTAAAAACAATCAATATCTTTTAAAAACTCGTAGCGGAATGCACTTTCAAACATCCGCCAGCTCCAAAACGAGTAAAAACAAGTTTGTTTGTCTTTCTCTCAAACTGTCAGGCTCACTCGTACCTCTGTCTGAAACGAGGCTCGTCTTTTCCGTCTCCCTTACCTTTCCTCTGCCTCGGCCTCGCGGTCTCTTCTTCCTCTCTCTGCGTTTCCTGTCGCGCGCTAACAGCCTGAGCTCCCTCTGCGTCGCCGTGTCTGTGCGACTAAAGGCTCACATGTATCGTAAGCCTTCGTCTGTGGTACAAAACCCACACAGAGCCGAGCGGAATACGATACGCACCATCTGCTAAGCTGCTCGCATTTCATAAACCTGGGAGAGCAGGCGGGATCAGCGCCGTAAGCTAGATAGACACACAGATGGGTGGAAAGGGGGAGAGAGGGGGAGGCAGAGAGGGAGAGGGACATAGACGGACGGACAGACTGAGAGGGAGAAAGAAAGCAAGGACGAAGACAGGAAAACTGGCAAAGGGACAAATGGATTAAGGAGCACACAGACAGACAGGCTGAAGATAAACCGATAAAACACACAAATACACAGAACATACACACATTCATTCATCCAGACACAGACACCCACTAAGAGTTGTCATGCTAAACATCAGTTTGACCTCATCAGTTCATAAGTAAAATGATCCTTAATGCCTGTAAACACCTTGATTCCACTTCGGCAAACTGATTAATAGCACGTATGTTCACCTAAAACTCACTCGGCTCAGACTGGCGAGGCCTCCGGCGACCACCAGTAGTCGTAAATAACAGCAGAATGTTCTAGTCGAATCCTCGACCCACTAGTTACATAAACACAACACAACTAGTCCTTATAACAAATCCGTATAGTTGCGTAAAGGATTGTAATATATGCAAACAAAGACGCTCATCACGTCTGTTAAAACAAAAGGGACCTTTCAAACCGACCTCATTTCATAATAATATCCTCTCTTTGCTTTTCAAAGAAGTACAGTGGAAAAACCTCCGAAAGCCTCATTCTGTGGTTTCACAGGACTATTGTGTCCCGACCATCGTCGTCCTCCTTCAAGTCCTCGCCGCTCGGTCTCCTACAACAGGTGTGGCGGGTGACCGGGGCGGGCGGGCGACATTTGATCACACTGATCGCCACAGGAGCATGGCGTCTGTTTTCTGTTGTATTGAAGTTCAACGCTGAGCGGAGACGCAGCACTGCGGCAGGAGGTCAGGGAGCTGCAGGTGCAGAGGACACGTCCACAGAGGTTGGCATGGCAGGTGGTCAGCACTCACAGGGATACGACATATGAATCGGGGCTCTCTGTGGTGTCGCGGCTAGCAAAGTGCTACGCTACTTCATAAGGATGGCTGAGAAAGAGAGGGAGGGGAAGAGGGAGAGAAAACGAGAGGGAGGGGAGTGTGAGAGAGAGAGAGAGAGAGGCTCAAAGGGAAAGATGGCTTGAGAGAAAAAAGGCTCAGCGAGTGTTGGGAAGGGAAAAAAAAAAAGAACAGGCCACTGTTGAGGGAGGGAGGGAGGGATACAAAGGGAGGCAGAGAGAAGCAAATAAAAGAGGAGAGGAAGAGAGTGATGGAGGCAAAGGAGAGATACAGAGGGAACGAGAGAGTGAAAAAAAAACAGCTGAATGAGAAATGAGTGAGACTAAATGAGAGAGAGATACCAGGGGAGGGAGGGAGGGGGAGGGATGCTGCAAAGGGATGAGGGAGAGAAGAGAGTATGCAACACAGCGGCCAAGAGAAAGAGATAGTGATGTGTTTGTGTGTGTGTGGAGGGAGGAGGGGGGTGTGAAATGAGAGAGAGGGGGGGAGAGAGAGAGAGAGAGAGAGAGAGCACAGACACGTAAATAATGTGAAGCAACAACGGACTCGCTGCGCCCACAGAGGAGATAACCCAGAAGGCTATATTTAGCTCGTTAGGCCTGTCATCCACACTGAGGCCTGTTTCCACAGGATGGGGCGGCGCTCGCCGCGCTGCTCTACACGGGGGAGGGGCTGGCAGGGCCCATGCACGTGCATTCTGCATGTTTATGACCATTTAAAAACGGCGTTTTTTTTTTTTTTTTCTGTGAGCCGGTGAGCTGGCACTTTTGTAAAGACGGGCGAACGTCGTCCGGCGGCGCGAGGAAGCAGTGTGACGTCGTTACTGAGTCACAACGTCCCGTCACTTCCTCCCCCTTTGCTACCAGATCCGGGCGTTAGATCTTAAAACGCGAGGCTGCTGCTCTCTTCCCGTTTCCTATTTTTATGAAGGCAACGATGTATTTTGATTTGTTTTATTTGGAGGGATTGTTACGCTAGTCTCTACTCTTAATTTATGTAGACTTTCAACCTGAAAATCAGATAATAGATTCATTCTTTTATATTTACATTGTAAGATCCAGAAACGTGACGGACATCAAAAGAAATGATCATAACCAACTCAAATCACATTTCATCGAGGTTTTTTTTCTCTCCTTCAGGGATGGAGCTTTTCAAAGTCGGAAAGTTTGTTCTTCTTCACATTTGCCACCTTAATTCTATACCTGGCGATGGGTTTTACACAGGAGATGATGCCACAACCCTCTCAAATTGCTCCCGTCTGTGCAGCGTTGCTGCAGTTAGAACAGCGGAGGCAGTTTTTCGGGAGAGTGAATTTCTTTGTTTGGCAGAACCTGCTCGCTATCTTTTTGGATGGAATATTTTCAGTTGGCTGCTCTTCTAGACGGCTTCATTTCTTTGCGTGTGCAGCGAGACGTGGGCAGCGTGTAACTTTTAACGACGGCGGCAAACACGCACGCCACAAACATCCGGTTGCACACAGTGAGTGTGTCTGCAGGCGTCTTTTCTCCCCCCTGTTTGTATTTATAATTCATGGCTCTCAGATTTCACTGCTCTCCTGGAATTCCTCCGGGTATTTTTAAATAAGGTTGCATTATAGCCCCAGCTAATCGGGGGGGGGTTAGCTGAGGCTATAACAAAGTGCAAGCAGGTCACCCGCGTTGACCCCCACCGGCCAGAATAGGAATCTGGCAAAGAGCAGATGCACACGCGTGAGGCCCAGTGGAATGTGGTAGAAGAAAACGTCTTCTTCCCACCCCCCACAACCCCCCCCCCTCAGAAAGAAGACATGTCTGCTGGACGGTGACGGCAGGAATTGCATTATGTGGCCTCTCCTGTGGTCTGTGTGTGTGTGTGTGCGCGCGTGTGTCTGTTACGTTGTTGCGTCATATTTCCTTACGAAAAATAACGAACCGTGTTACATTTCTGTGCGTCGTTGTGCAGGGAGGGGCGAGGCAATGAGGCAACAAGTCACTTTTTATCTGAAATCTAAACACGAGCCAAAAACAAAATGTATATTTGGTTGGCAGTGGATCTGGCATAATTAGATTTTTCCAGTGATTAATCATAACGACGAAGCATGCGAGAAGTAATATTTGGAAGCATCGTACAACACTGAATGAAGGTAAGCCGGCTTGCTGCCTTTTTAAATATTAAACTGCCTTCCAGTAAGAGGAGCACAACAACAAAGTCCAAAGTCCCGGTAGCACGATAACCCCATCGACCTTCATTTAAACCTTCTAAACAAATTGGAGACGATTGCATTGATTCCGGGGTCTCGGACCGGGAAGCGCATCATAGCGCTGAAGAACTGATAGTAGTTTGGGAATTAAAGTAACCGTGGTTCAACAGAGCAGCGTGCTTTATGTCAATGTTATTGTGCTTTAATTCCATTCATCACAGTTCATTTTATTCAAATACTGTTTTAAAAAGAAAGTGTCTTAATGGTGATATTGTGAAGCCTTTATCAGGGTTGCAGCGTATCCTCCTCGGCCTCATTTGCTGGAACATAGTGAGCGCGTGTGTGTGTGTGTGTATCTGTGTGAGCCGCCCGTTCAGTGCAGCCCCTCAGGCAGCGTGTGTGTGTGTGTGTGTGTGTGTGTGTGTGTGTGTGTGTGTGTGTGTGTGTGTGTGTGTGTGTGTGTGTGTGTGTGTGTGTGTGTGTGTGTGTGTGTGTGTGTGTGTGTGTGTGGACTAATGCGGGGCTCTCAGCCTCTTACTCCGCTCGCAGCTCATCCGTCTGATTCAGGCTGACACACTGTGTTCTCTTCAGCAGCATTACAGTCACAGGCTGCCTGAGCAAAGGGGCAGAGGAAGGGTTTGGGTAAAGGGGGAGGCGAAGGAAGTAAACAAAGTGAGTGTATAGAAGCAATATTGGAGGTGAAGAGCTAGAGGAGGAGGTCAAAAGGAGGCAGCATGGCAGAACCAGATGGGGGCACAGGGAGGAGGGGGTGGGGGGGGCGTCAGCACAGAGGGCAGAGAGGAGTGAACATTGCAAAAGAGGGAGCAGAGAGAAAGGTGAAGAATGGTAAAAATGATGTAAGATAACAGGGAGGAAGAGGCTCAGAATGTGGACGCCCGCGGATCTAAACCGGGCCCAGATGTAGAGGAGGCCGTGCGTCCGCTCTAAGAGCCTTAAACCTGTCTGAACCGTCTGGCGCGGCAGAAGCAAACCGGACGGGACAGGTTCATGAAGATGGACCGGTTCCGCCGTGGATTCAAGGTCGGGTGCTTGCCGTCCCTCCTGCGGCGCGCTTCCCTCTGATGAAACCGGCTGCAAGAGGAGCTGCGGCGAGGCTGAATGTCTGCCGTGACTGATTTAGC